ACCTTCAATGGTTTGAACGTTCTGGCTGTAATAAAGATATTCTGGAAATTTTAATATTTAGACAATAACAACAGAGCACGTATAATTAAAAAGTAATAATGGGATAATACATCTATCCAACATTTATCATAATAAGCAGCATTTTGGGAGAACAATAAGCCCAAATAATATTTCAGAAAAGCTAAATTTCAAGGAAAGAAGATACTACAGTACAAAGTTATGGCCAAAAATACTGTATTTTTAACCAGTAACACTTCTGAGGGGCAGTAACTGTACATTAGGTTTTTTTCCCAACCCCCCCTATTTCTGTCCCTCAAACGACACACAATACATGCATTTAAATGACACTTTAAGAACAGCAAATACGATCTTTATTTTTAAATACTGCAAGTTTAAAAAGGTATCTGACAGCCCCCCCTCCAAAAAAAAAAAAAAAAAATATTGGTCAAATAAGGATTTCCTGCAGCATGGTAAATGAGGAATCCAGCAACAGACTTCAGCTTAGACTGTATTTTGATAGAAAAAACCAAAACCAACAGACTTACAGTTAAGACTGATCTGACTGACTTTTTATTTTTCATAGAATCACAGAATCATTATGGTTGGAAGAGACCTCAAAGATCATCAAGTCCAACCATTCACACTATCTTCAAAATCTCCCTCTATTCCTTTCTTCCCTGCAGCATGGCTACTGTGAAAAAGCTTGAGTGAAACTTAGAGTAAAATCCCTTTAACTAGCTAAATAGCAACCCACAATGTATTGCTGACTACATAGAAATGTCTGGTTTGATTGATAAAACTCAAAATGTTATGGGTAACCAAAAGCCAAAAAAGAGGAAATACCAGTAGCTCCTCTTCTCAAACTAAATGTACGGTTTTGCAAGGTCTCTACTAAACTAACAAACTGGACAGGGACAGATGGCCGTAGTTGTTTAATGTGTATTACATTTTAGAATTCATGGTTTATGTCAAAAGACGGACTGTCATTACAGAAGTGTGAATTTGTAAAATACCATAGTTAATTACCTACACCAGGACATTTTAATTTCATAACTTACGACGGTCTCTCCAAAACATATTTACTGGTCTCTTAGCTAGAGGTAGGTCATTTGTAGGCCTTGTTAATATGCTGTGCACACTTCATTAGTTCACTAATGTCATAAGTCATAGTCTGCAGGATAACAATGCACAGAGCTCCAAGAACAGCAGCACATATAATAAATTAATTGGCTAAATTTTATTTTTTCATGTGGGTTAACATGTCTTTGTTTTCTCCTAATACTTCATTCTTTTGTGAAGAATGTGTAACAAGGAAAGGGTCATGAAGCTGAGTAATCTGAAAGTCTTCTGCACCTTACAACCAAAGGCTGGGAGCCTAGCAATGTCTTTATATGCAGCCCTTTTCCCCACATTTAGTTTTTGCAAATCATGCAGTCAATTCTGACTGATATCCAGCATAAAAAGTCTCTTCTTCACTTTCAAACTTAAAAAAGTGATTCACAATCATGTGGCAGTATGATTAAAAATTACAGTCCATACACCTTGACAATCAAAAGAGTCTGAATTATAAAAAGTAAACTGCCCTTATAGCTGCATCATCCTATATAGGTAAGGGCAGCGCCAGTTATCATTTGTGAAAAAGGCAAGTTTAAGGTTTCTGTAAAACACGTATTACAGCTTTCTTGTGCTCGTGAACATCTAGAATACACAAGTTCCCAAGACATTTTCCTTCCCTCCTCCCCCATTTATGACATTCAGAGAAATCACATAATTTTGGCAGTTAAAAGGGTTTCTGTCTTGATGTTTTTGCCTTCAGCTTCATGTTAGAGGCACAAACTTCTGACTCGAGCACTGTAAGGCATAGTAGAAACCACCAATTAAAACAACAGCAACACCACCACCACCGCTGCCACCACCACCATCACAATGGAATATACTGCAAGTGGGAACAGCTTTGTCATTTAAAAAGGAAATGTTTTTGTAAACTGTCACACTACAATGCTGTGTTAGGTGATACATGTAAAGCTTGCCTCGGCATGCTGAATTTTTTTTTTTTTCAGAACATGCTCAAATGATCTAAACATTGCCACAGGTTCAACTTACCTAAAATATACCAGACGCAGCCCAGTGGCCGACACTTTTGAAAACTTTTGCAATCACAATATAATTATAAAGCATGAGTAAACTTTGTTTTTATACAAAACTCAGAACCACATTTCTCCCCCACCCAATATGCCGTAAGAAAACAAAACGAATTTAAAAAAACCAAACAAACCTAAACCTTTCTTAGACATCATCTTCCCCCCCCCCCCCCCCTCCTTTTTTTTTTGCCTTTTTTTTGGCTACAGTTCCACTTACAGCACTGAATCCAGCATGGGCAATGTACTCCCAGGTTAAAAGAAGGGATATTATCAACAATGGAACTGTGAAAACAGCATCTCTGTTGCACCTACAGCAAGATCAGGACCAATTTTGTAACGCTGTATGTAAGAGTCACTGCTCTGATCCCCTATTCAGAATGTCAGTGTCACTTTTTATAACATAGATCTACCTGCTTTAGCTTTATTAAATAAAACACTTTAACTCCTTAAAATCGTTAACAATAGTGACTTTTGGTTGTTGTTGTTATATCTAAGGTTTCTGCAGTTTCTGAAAGACTCTCTGATTGATGTGATGCTCTCTATTTTTTCATGGTATTTTCAGGGCAACAGCATATACTCATTAGTACTTACAAACAATGGTTTGAAATATCTCTAATTTACTTTTCTAATAAAGCATATTAGGAAAGTAAAAGTAACCTCATGTGAATGTGCCAAATATAAATTAAATTTATATTTAAAAGCTCATGTTCCAATCCTAGATATAATGGGATAAGTTCTTCTAATAAGACTGGTTTCTACACTTGTATAAAGCCCTGACAAGATTTTTTGAATGTGAATGGCCTCTGTCTGGGTGTCTCCAATTTACTTCTACTCAGGAATGTGCAAATGATTTTATACAGCACGATGCTAGTACCGCTCTGTACTATAGTAATCTTTTTTGTTTTGTAAATAAAAAACAACAACAAATCCCTAGTCAGAAATAAACTGACAAAATTTACATTCTTCTCTCTTAAAAAAGTAAATAAAATAACATTATTTAAAATGTGAATTAGCTATAAGACATACAATACAATTACATAGATACATATCAATACAGCACATTCAATTTGCCAAAAATTAATGATTACAAAGCCAGTATGGATGCTGCCATATATATATATAGATGTATGTACAATGATTATAGCATTCATAATTGCACTATACCTACAACCAGTTTTAAATTACAAGGTGTTTTAAGAGGGAGCAAAAAATAGCAACTGTTCTTATTATTGTTGTTTTGGAGTTGGGAGGGTCAAGGATGAAAAAGATCTCATTAGTATTTATTGTTAACTTTGGTAACCAACTAATAAGCCATTCTTTTTTCCACCTCCCATCCGCTGCTATGAGGCAGCAATTTCTGTGTTAAGTGCACTCCAGTGCTACTCAGCATTGCAGATAATCAATCCAATTACATGTCTGAACTCTTGAGTTTTATATAGTTTGCTAGCAATCATGCACCTAGTCAAAAAACACCTTCCAACCTAAGCTGCAGAATAAAGGCTCATCAATGTGTGCTGCATTTTTGTTGTTAAAAAATTGCACATTTAAATTTCAAGAATGATTTTCTCACTATTTCATTTGCACTAATAAATCTTTTCTAAAGAACACTGAGAGAGGCTATTTTGCATGAAAGCCTATCAAATGTCTGTGAATCAGTTAAGTTAACAAGCAACCTTATCAAGAAAGGTCCCTGAACGTGATCTCTCATCAGTAATTTCTTGTTATACAACTAAAGGTGCCTTGATATTATTACAGAAAACAATCTCATGCCATATCTGACATAAGGAGAGATTTAAACTGTCTTTAAATTAGTAGACCACATACATGTGCATGGTGCACCTCATAGCATACTGACTCACACTGTTGGTTTTGGCATTAGAAAATGGAACACTTTCTAAAAAAGGGAACATATGAGTTGAAACTCTTTGTTTATCATTTGGCAGTTGACTCAATCAGGTCAGTTCCCAACCCATCAGTTTGGCATTTCAATCAGTATCTTATGTTTCAAGAGCATTAAGCCAGATTTGGCAACATTACTTTTATACAATAAAAATAATTTTTCTGCTATGGAAAAAGAACACTTAAAAAAGCTCTAACTTAAGAAAAATACCCCACACAACTGAAAAAAACCAAACCACTTTTTCAGGCTGTAGCCACTGGGGAAAATGTAGTGTCTATGACATTTCTATTTGGCATTTGTGAATAAAAGAAGAGAAAAAAAATGGCACATGGCAATTAAAAAGAGATTCTAACATATTCCACGTACATCCCAGGCTGTGTCTTAATTTTTTCATTACTGTCTTCCGTGCACCTTTCCAAACTGTGACAATATGGTTAAATTTAATATCCTCAGACAACTGTAATTCTATTTTGCAATCCTAATATTCTAGTCTCAAAAGTGAAGACAGAATGAAGACACCCACGTCAAGAATTTTAAAATCACAGTATTAATACTTTTGATCCTTCAGAGAAAGTACATACTGTAAAATTAGAATGACTGATGACTTAAATTCTGATGATAGTATTCTCCTTACCAAATCACTCAACAGAAAATATTTCACCCAGGAATGCAACTGGGGAAAAAAGGCCATTGTACCTTGTAAAGATAAGGAAGGAGGGGAAGGAGGGAGAGAGGAAGGGTCAGGGAA